GCATTATTATATTTATAGTGCTTTGATATTTGATATTTTATAAATGTCTTATTTTTTATCATTGAGCTTCTGTACATATATTTCAAAGTTGATACTTATGTGATAAAGGCCTTAAAATATAAATAAAACTTTGCAAATGAATTACAATGAGATTGCAATTATAAGATCATCATTGTATAATAGTTATATGTTCCAGAATTATTCCTAGGTGATGCTTTATCAATAAGAGGACATTGACAAAAGTTGTTGAGACTAGCACTTAGTTATGCTTTTACTCATGAAGCAAGTAATTGATCTTATTGGTTTAAGTTTGGATAAACTTAGGCTAACATATGGGTGCTTGTTACAAGAACAAGTTTACTAAACATGACTCAATATGAGAATGTTATATGGTAGTTCATATAGTGTATATAGCTATATTCTCATTAGATGATTGTATAAGTGATCCTTACTTAAGATTACTTACGATTTTATATGATAAGTGTTATACTTTGACTTTACTTTACTTATAGTTCTAACCAAGAATTATCCAGTCAAGTATTTTTAGGTATAACTAAGCCATATGAAGATGTATGAAGTAATCAAGTTGGCATTTATTACCTTATATGATCAGGAGAGTATCTCAACTAGTCTTAATTGATTAACTTGAGAAATTTTTGACCAAAATGAAATAAAAGTTTGGTATTTTCTAAAGCTTATTCGTGAATTAATGTCAAGGAAAAGACTTAGCATGGTTGAACAAGATTGAGTAGACACTAGCCATACTCAATGTTCAAACTAAGATACTATATGATGTAAGGATATTAATTACACACTAAGACCATTCACGGATAGGTTGTTAAGCGATATTGACTTTTTTTTAGCAATTGGGGTCATGACAATAAAGCTAGTATTGATCATGATCTGTAAACATAAGATTAGCTAATTGGAGAATTGGTGACAAAGACAAAAAGTTTATTTCATCCATAGCTGAATACTAAAGCTTGCAATGTTGTGTTTATTGCCAACATGCTAAAGAATCTAATGATCACACACAATAAGACAATTATAGAAGAATAAAATTGAGTTAAATTAAGTCAGACTTAGTTTTATTTTGGTATGACCACAAATAAAGGAAATAAAAATAAGAGAAAGAGTTTCCTTTGTTTAGTACATTTTGCTAGCATAGGGTCAAAAGTTATCTATATAGTGATTCAAATATCTGTCGGGTTAATGAACTTTTCTCTCCATTAATAGATATCTGTTTAGAGATTTTTTTAGATATTTCATATTTTTATGTAAGATTCTATTAGTTATTGCAATTTTTTGTCTATTGATTTACTCTTGTTAAAATTAAATATGCATCACATATTTGGAGTGTGAAGGTGACTTTATAGAACTATTTATGACATTTTTGCTATCAATGAAAAGTTTCAAAGTTGATAATTAAAAATTTGTAATTTTCTAGAATTTTTTTTTAGCTTCACCTATTGGAACATTTTTATTTCATAAATTATGTTTCAAATGATAATTGTTTTAACTTTTTCTATTTAAGTTTACTTGAAGCATAAAATTTTAGATAAATGAGTTGTAGAATTGAATTTATGTATCATCATTCAATAATCAATCGAAAACTTATTTTGATCTAAAAATAAAAAAATAATTGTAATATTAAATTTGATTATCTTATTGCATGTTAAGATAAAAAAAGATAAAATAATAAATTTAAAAAACATAAAAAATTTGTACCCTGGACGAAACGAGGGCAACCCACTTGTATATTTAAAAAATAAAGTAACAAATACATTTTAACAATTTTGATATTTTTGCTTTTGAAAGGATGGTTGGCAAATCACAAGACAACCTAAGCAGCAAAAAAAGTGCAAAATGGATTGAACAAATTTAAAATAAAAGAGAGGAAGCTACGATAACTGTGGTAAAAGGGGAAAAAAAATCTCCACATTTGTTTGTATTTTACTTCGCTGAAAATTTTGTTTGGAAAGCTAGAATTTAGAAAATTACATTCGACTTGTTTAAAGTTCACATAAACTATGATTTAATAGTGAGACAAACCAACAGATTTTAAGTGTTTGTGAATAATAATTAGTGGCTAAAATATATATATATATATATCTCAATATAATTTTAATCCATTTTAATTTGTGAATCTAATTTAAATATATATATCTATGAATTTTCAAAATTCTTCAGGATCTTGACTTGGCTTACAGTTTTACTCTTATACCAATGCCATTTTATTAAAGTTATTTCTATTGAATCTAAATCTTCCATTTGGATATTTGAGCTCTAACTTTTAGACAACTAACAGTTATCATAAATAATAATATGAGGGTTAATTAAAGTATTAAATTATATGAATAATGTTGGATTTGACGATATCATTATCATTTTTGTTATTTTCTTTTTCTTACATTAGAAATTCATGTATTAAAAATTAAAGAAGGAAAGAAATAAGTTTTATTTATTTAAAATAATTTTGGGTTTTTTTTGTTTATTTTCTTTTTAGGAATATTTCTTCATAAAATTTATAATTTTTTATATTTTTCAAATAAAACATTATATTATCAACAAAAATATAACATAATTAAAAATAATTATTAAAAATAAAGGAGATAAACAGAATTAAGAATGAAAAATAAAACAAGAAATTTTAATAAATACCAAAACAGAATTAAGAATGAAAAATAAAACAAAAAATTTTAATAAATACCATTATAATAATGATAATAAAATAAAATAAAAATAAAAAGAAATTAATAATAAAAATTAAATTACTTTGCTTATTTTTTTTCTTTTGCTTTAAATATTTCAAAGTATTATAATTTAAAATAAATTGAAAAGTCATACCCTTGATCCAATGATTAATAAAAAATATAATACTAACAATTTAAAATGAAAAATTAACAAAGAAAATATAATTACAAAATATGAAATTTGTATATATTTTAATTTTAATATTTTTTGACAACGTATATGAAATACTATACAAAACATAGCATAAAATTTTAACAAAGAAAATTTTTTCTCTTCTTTATTGTTTAATTTCTAATCGTTTATATATGTTTACTACATTTTTATTACACTCCCTCACGAAACACGGACTTCTACATAGTATAGATAAATTAAATGGAATTCTAAACTACTTTTGCATGTCATCAAATATCTTACTACTTTTTTTTTTCTCATACTTCAAAACATACTTGTATGTGAAAACTAAATATCTGAGTTACTTGTAATTGCCTTTTTATGCCTATAGTTTGCAAAATGGTTTTTTTTTTTTTTTGTTAAATATAAAAATGATTCTTAAATTATATACTTTTTATCAGTTTTGCATTTCAAAAAATAATTTTTTTTTACTTTGATATTCAAACTTTCATTCCATCATTCACTTTGGTAACTAGACTAATACTGTTAATTAACTTGCTAACGTGATAAGAACATTTAATAAAATGCTACACATATCAAAAAGTCTAGCCAGCATTATATCATTAATTACCAATTTAGCATTCAAAGAAAATTTCTTAAAATTTCTAAAAAGTATTAAATTTTCTTTTAAATCTAAAATATTTTTTAAAAATTATAAAAACATAAAAATTGAAATATATGAAAAATTTTAAAAAGTTATGAAAGCTTTAAATTTTCAAAAAATCTCAAAACGTTCATAAAAAATCCAAAAAATTCATAAAAATGAAAATTTTAATAAAAGTAAAATTTTCTTAAAATTCAAAAAATAATTCAATAAACTTAAAAAAATTAAAAATAAAAAAATTTTTGAAAATTTTTGAAAAATTGAAAAAATTTTGTAACAATTACGAAAAATTTTCTCTTTTTTTTTTTAATCTTACAAGTTTAATTTTTATATATTTTACATATTTTTATTTTTTTTTATTTTGTTTAATTTTTAAGTTTTTTATTTTTCTAAATTTTTTAATTTTTAAAATTATTTTAAAGTATTCCAGAATTTTTAAAATTTTTACTTTAGAGTTTTTTAAAATTTTAAAGAATTTATTTATAAATTTTTATACTTTTGAAAAAAGTCTTATATTGTTTCATTTTCATTTTGTTTAAGTTTTTGTGACTTTTTTAAATTTAAGACAAATATATTTTTATTAAAATGTTAAATTTTTTTTAATTTTTCAGAATTTTTTTAAAATTTTATTAAGACTTTAAGCTTTTTTGAAATTTTTTAAGTTTTCATAATTTTTTTAGTTCTTAGAATTTCTAAAAATATTTTTAAAAATTTTTTATAATATTTTATAATTTTTTTAAAAAATTTTATTAGATTTCTTTTAATTTTTTTATAAAAAATTTATTGAATTTTTTAATGTTAACATGGCAATTGATGATCTTGTGTTATCTAACTTTTTTTACACTTATCAGTATTTTTTTAAATGTTTATGCCATATCAGTAAATTAACTAATGGTATTAATCTAAGCTATCAAAATGGATGATGGAATAAAAATTTGAGTATCAAATTGATAAAAAAAATGTATAGTACATAGGGTATTTTTATATTTAAGCCATAATATTTTTATAGTACTCTTAGTAAAAAATAATGTATTAACTAAATTGTTTAGTTCTCTTTTTTCCTTTTTGTTCTGTCAAATTCCTATTGAAATATAATAACTATTACAAAAATTGAAAAAAATGGTACATTGTGAAAATTGGAATTAAATATAAACTTATTAATATTGGTTATAAATGGAAATATTCAATTATTAATTGGTTATGGCAAAGAATCATACAAATATTTTTTTTTTATTTTTTTGATATAAAAAGGTTACAAATGAGGATAGAAAAAAAAAATTATATGTTGAAATTTGAATCTTCGGTATATAAATATCACCTTTTAAAGATAAATATATAAACTAATTGAATTAATTTTTGGGTTCCAACATAAAAATCATTCACTTCCCACAGATCGAATCCCAACTAAAAATATTAGCAGACTCAATCATGGAGTAACAGAATGCTGCAGATAAATGAGGCTAATAGATGATTAATTAAGAAAAATTTTCTTAATCTCATGCAACTTCGTCAAGGTTTCTCTCATGGATAAACGGTCTTTGGCCGATTGAGCTGCACAACATAATCCAACTCTTATCACAGCTGCTAGACATTCTTCATATAATTTCCTAGGCCAATGATTACTGTCATTATTGCTGATGCCGTTATTGCTGCTGCCGCTGCTGTCACTTGAGTAAGCGTTAAATGAGCTTTGTAGTAAACTTCCATCGTTCTTCAAAAGCCTAGGATCAGAAATCTCGAAAATTTGATTACTATCCACCGCTGATGCAAATTTATTAAGGCTTAGTCCTTCTGTGAACATCCCATCAGTTGGCTTCTTGGCTATGAACATTTCAAGCAGAAGAATTCCAAAACTATAGACATCTCCACTGGTTGAAGATTTGCTGCCTAGACCATACTCTACAGTTATATAAATTCAGCAAAAAAGTTTAGACGAAAATGCCTATAAGATTTTCCTTCTAATATTGGTATCTGTTTCTAAAGGGTTAATATATCATTTGACTCTTAAACCATAAAACTTTTCATAATTTGATACTTATTAAAAATATTCATAATTTAATATTTCAACTTTAATTTTGTCATATTATTTGTCCGGGTATCAACTCCATTAATAATATATATATATATATATATATTAATATTGTGGTAAGAAATTAATTAATAAAATTATGACACGTGATGCATTTTTATTGGCCAATACCTACCATATCATCATTTTACTTAAAACCCTTAGTCAATCCTGCAGAATTCTTGACAAATGCGAAGTTAAGGTATATAATCGTAAATTTAGTTTCTATAAATATCAAATTGTGAAAGTGATAGAGTTCACTGGCAGATTTACGCATTAATCCGTTTCAAAAAAAAAAAAAGGTTTAACAAGAGTATAGTTTACTGACCTGGAGCAATGTAACCAATTGAGCCTTTCACACCCATTGTGCTACTCTCCCCTTGGGATGGATTTTGAGAAAGAAACCTCGCCAATCCAAAATCCCCCACATGAGCTGCCATATTTTCATCCAAAAGTACATTTGCAGGTTTCAAATCGCAGTGCGCAACAGGTGGTTCACAGTCGTTATGCAAATAATCCATGGCAGAAGCTACATCAATGGCAATATTCAGCCTTTGAAGCAAGGTCAAACATAACCCAGATTCCTCATCTTCTAGATATAACCACTTATCTAGGTTGCCATTGGGCATGAACTCCATAATCAAGGCCTTGAATTGATCTCCTTTATGATCGACGCTTGAGCATGAGGTGATGATCTTTACGAGGTTTCGATGCCTAACATTCCTCAAGGCCTCACATTCAGCAAGAAAACTTTGAATGGCTTTGCTTTGTTGCAAGTCAAGAACCTTCACAGCAAGTGTAGTGTTGTTGCTGTGGGCTCCATTATCACTAACGCTGAATGTACCTTTATAAACAGACCCGAAACCCCCCTGGCCAATCAGATTTTCAGTAGCAAAATTGCTTGTAGCAAGCCGGATATCGAAGTAAGATATCATTGGAGGCAACCCCTTCAACGAAAGTGAAGATTTACTGCCTTTCTCCTTCTGTTTCTTCTTTCTGGACATCAATACACACACAAAGCAGAAAATAAAACATACAAACAAAGAAACTCCAGCAGCAGAAACTAAAATTTTGAGCAGGTGATTCCTTTTTCTACCCCTTGTGTTACATTGAGGGAGTTCCAAATTTCTAGCAATTTCTTGATCACTACTGCAGAGGGCGTCGTTCCCCTGGACAGAAACCAAGCTAAGATTCAAGAAGACTTTTCCTGTTGGAACTTCTCCTTCCAAATGATTGAAAGACAAATTTAACATCTTGACAGACTGAAGATTTGACAAGTCCTGGGGAATTTTTCCAGAAAGATTGTTAGAAGAGAGATCCAAAACCTCTAATGAAATTAGCTTTCCTAATGAATACGGGATTTCACCATTGATATTATTTATTGACATGTTGAGATATAGTAAACTTGAACACCCACTGATTGATGAAGTTAAATTTCCGAACAACTTATTCTCAGAAACATCCATCACTTGAAGCTGCTTCAAGTTGCCGACTTCACTTGGGAGAGAACCCGAAAGCATGTTATGTCCCAGAATCAAGTAGTTTAAACCAGAAATCCTGAAAGTCTCTTTCGGTATGCTTCCATTGAGCCTATTCCAAGACAGGTCCAATGTTTGTAGCTGCTGGCAGTCTCCAAGGCTGGTGGGAATTCTACCAGAGAACAGGTTAGTTCCCATTATGATTTCAGAAACTAGTGTAAAATTAGCAAAGATTTCTGGAATTTCTCCAGTGAACATGTTCTGGTAGACCAAAAAGCTCTGTAAATTTCTAAGTGTACCTATGCTCTTTGGAATATCACCTGTAAAAGAGTTCTTCTCTACTGAAAGGGAAATGAGATTTTGAAACTTCTCAATCCCCTGAGGAAAGCTACCAGTCAACAAATTGTCAGAAATGCAAAAATGTTGGATATTGCTTGACAGATTCGCGACTGAGCGAAATTCGCCAGAAAGTCTGTTGGAATTTAGCATCAGATATTCCAGCTGCGTACAGTTTGTAAGAGAATCAATCAACTGAAAATTCCGAGCTGTTGTAGAAGAGAGAGAATTTTGACCAAGGTCCAGCATGATAAGTTTTCTCATGTTGACAAGCAGAGGAATTGGCCCATGAAATCTGTTTCTAGACAGGTCAAGAAATTCAATGTTTGAAGCATTAGGTAGAGAACCAGGTATAATCCCTTCAAACCTGTTTAATGCCAAATACAGTTCCCTGAGATTTGGAAGAGCTTGACCTATGTCATTTGGTAGTTTTCCTGAAAGGTTATTTTGTGTTACAGACAAGAAAACTAAGGAAGTAATGTTGAAAATCGAATAAGGGATTTGGCCAGTGAGATGATTTTCTGAAAGCTGAATTGTTTGAAGGTTTCTAAGGTGACCAATCTCACTCGGAATTTCACCAAGTAACTCGTTTCTTGCCAGAGCAAGATAAGTTAAAGAGGAAAGGTTTCCAAATATAGGAGGGAGTGAACCAGTGAGGTTATTGATAGAGATATCCAGGATTCTGAGTCTTTGCAGATTGCCTAGTTCGGCTGGAAGGTTGCCACTAAATTTGTTCCCTGTTAATCTAAGTGTTTCAAGGTTATGACAATCAGAAAGAATTCCAGGAACAGTTCCATTAATGGAATTATTTCTTAGGTCGATATGTTGAAGAAGGGAAAGCCTACTGAACTCCAATTGAAATTGACCATGAAATAAGTTGTGGGAAAGGTTAAGTGTATGCAGGAAAGTGAGGTTTGAGAGGGAAGGGGCTATGGTGCCGACAAGGCCAAGTCTACCAAGTTGGAGGGACTCAACTCGGGATCCATTGCTGCTGCAAGAAATACCAAACCAGTTGCAATGAGAAGAATTCTGTGTCCAACCTAAAAGTTTATTTTGAGGATCACTGACTTGGAGTTTGAAAGACAGCAAGGCTTCTTTGTCAGTTGTGGAATCCAAATCTCCCATCTGGCACATAACCGAGTATAAGTGAGTCTGAAATAAGGAGAAAAGCAGTAAAAGTTGCAGGTATTCCATGGTTTAGAAATATGGCTTAATTGCGCTGTTTAGCATAGAGCTTTAGAATTTGTATCTATGCATATATATGTAGACACCGGTTTTGTCCGGGTCTACTATTAAATTAATAATAATAATAATAATAATAATAAATATATTTTTTAAAAAAATAATTATTAATTATTATTAAAAAAAAGAGAAAATAGGAAAAAGGAAAAGAAACAGAAAGTAGAGTGGCTGGTGGGGTATAGCACTACTGTTGCCCCTGACCAGCCTCCTAACCAGCCCCCTGTTCAGCCCACCTATAATCACCTTACAACCACCCAGATCCCCTTTTGAATTCCTTAAAAACTCTCAACTTCTTCCCCTTCAAGCTCGCTGGAACCCCACTTTTCGAAAACCTTCGGATATCCCCTCTCGAAATCTTTCGGACAGTTCTTCACCTCCAAACACACTGCCCACAACACCCTCTCGGACACCCAGACAAAAAAAAAAATCCTTTAACCTACACCAACCACGAAAATAGAAACACAAAAATAAAAACAAAAAAGACAAACAGTCCTCCCCGTAGAGAGGAACCTCGACGCCGAGTTCCCTGGCAAAACAAAGAAAACAGATTAGTTTTTGTTTCAATAAAACAAAAAAAAGGGTAGAAAACTTCAAGCCCCGATCTACGATGATCGGGACTGTTTCTGGTGAAAAGAAAGCCAGATCTGGAAAGAGGGCGTTGAAAAGAGTTGCCAGAATAATTTTTGCATTTTTCGACGATTGACGACCGCCGGTAGTGACCCAGGAGGCGGCTGCGCGGTGGTCCGACGATCGGATGGCTAGAGCCCGGAGCTCTCCCCCAAAGCTCTCTCTCTCTCTCTCTCTCCTTTTTTTTCTGAAACAGAAAATAATGAACCAAAAAAAAAAAATCTTGAGTTATATATAGAAAAGCAAAACTCAAAACGACGTCGTTTAGGGAAAGACCCAAAACGACGCTGTTTTAATCAAGGAGGATCCACGCATGGACACAGATCTGACCCAAGATCTGTGCAAACTGACCTGCCAACTCGCTTCAGCTAACCATGAATCAGTCCAGAAGAACGCCAGTGAACCAGTCAGAATCGGTCGAACCACTGGACTACTCGAACCGCTAACTGAACCGCAGTCAGATCCAGTCTAGACCAGCATTGACCGGTCCGGTTCAGGTAAAAAAATTTTTTTTTTGAATTTTTGAATTTTTTATATTATTATTTTTTTATTTTGAGTATATTTTTATATTTATGCATGATAAATTTTTAAATTTGTTAGAATAAATGTTTAATTGTTTTAATAATAATAAAATTGAAAACAAGTAATAATTAAAAAATATATATTAAAAATGCTCAAAAAAAATTATTATTATTATTTTTTTTTCCTGCCTAGATGTTGGAAGAAATAAAAAATATTTTTATAAAAAAATAATTCCGCCTATATGTTGGAGAATTATTATTAATAAATTTTCATTAAAAAAAAGAAATTTTTAATTAATTTTAAAAAATCATTAAAATCGAACCCGCTTCAAAAATCCGCCTAGATGTTAGAGATTTTTAGAGATGTTCGTATTTTCTTAAAAACGAAACCTTAAACACTAGTTCTTAATTTTCAAAATCCTATGTTTCTAAAACCCCCTAAAATCCAAACCCCTAAAATTCAAAACCCCTAAAATTCAAACCCCAAAATCTAAATCCCTAAAATCCGAAACCCCTAAAATCCAAACCTCAAAATCAAAAATCCCTAAAATCCAAAACCTTAAATCAAAACCCCAAACCACAAAACCCAAATCCTAAAATCTCCAAACTCTAAAATCAAAACCCTAAACCTTCCATATCCTAAAATTCAAGCCTTAAAACCCTCTAAACCTTAAAACCAAACCTTCAAAGCCTCTAGTCAAGCCTTTACTCAAAGCCTCCTAAAAATCTTAAAGACACGTGTGAAAATTCTATTCGAAGCAATTTGTTCCCAAACGTCGCCTAGATGATGGGGTATTTAGAAAATTTTGCTTCGTTAAGTCTTTTCACACAATTTCTTAATTCGCATTAATAATAAAATTAATAAATAAAAAGTATAATAGTAAATTGGAATCTTAAATATAAACAGTCACACCTAAGCTCTGCCTAGATGTTGAAGAGTCGGGGTGGCCTCATTATACTTAAGAATCCAACTTTTAAATTGTATCTCATCTTACATAACATTCATTGGCATACATACGTTAGCATGTTATTATCAGTATTTATTTGCACTATTCTGTCTTTAATTTTTATTTATTACATGGTAATAAAATATTTTATAATAAAAAAGAATAATACTTTTAAAAGAAAAAATTATGATATTACAAAATAAAATAAAAGTAACATTTCGAAAGAAATAATTCTTGGTACTCTGCCTAGATGTTGGAGAGTCACCAACAATTTTATATAAAGAGTGTTATTTCATTTTAAGGATTATTGAGTTAAATCTTAAGCAAAAAAAGTTATTTTAAATTCTGCCTAGATGTTGGAGAATTTTAAGGTAATTCTTTAACTTAAAGATTTTCTCAATATTTCTAAATAAATTTTTAGCAAAATTTTATTTTTCCAAATGAAGGGAATTAGTGTTAAATTTCAAATTAAAAACATTTTTATCCAACATCGAAAATAGCGCGTAATTAAATGGTACTAATTTATGGGCATTGTGGGGGTGCTAATCCTTCCCCACACGTAACCGACTCCCGGACCTAACCTGATTTTTCGTAAACTAAAATTTATCTTTTTTATAAACTTTAAACCCGTTTTTATAGTTTTATTAAAAAGATAAACTTTTGGGTGACCAGTCACACCCTAACAAAGATTGGTTGTGACTCTCCTATCATTTTTTTCGATTTTAAAACTATTTTACGTCTAGCAGTCCCAAAATCGTTACGACAACTTGGCGACTCCGCTAGGGATATTTAAGAGTCAGGCCAAAATTTTAATTATGCGCTATTAGCAATGGTTGGATTTAATTGGTTTTATTTAATATTTAGTTTAATTCCCTTTGTTTTAATTTTTCAAAAAATATATATACAAGTTCATAAACAGAATAAATTGCATGATAGTTATTATTTTTTTCATTGGATTTATTTATTTGGATTAATATATTGCTTTATACACACTCTGCATATTCGCTCACATGCATGAGCTCTAAACCCGGGCTCTACCCCTTTTAGGAGGAAGTGAAGTAGCTACACTCTCGTGAGGTGATAACCTCCGTATTTGCTAGCAAAACACTTTCACTCAGATTGAACCTTTTCCGTTAATAACCCATAATGGGCGAGGATCGGGGAACCTTACTAGCCTATAATAGGCGATGATGTGAGGAATAGTCTAGGAACCTTTAGACATATAAATCCTAACCCATCATATCGTGAGCCATAGGAAGCCTGCCTAGGATAGAGCCATGCCCCCTTTTTAGAAAATTACCAAAAATTAGGAATTATATGCTATATTATTTTGTTGTATGGCTATTATATTATTTCTCTTACTTGTTTGTTTTGAATTCTTGAGTCATTTTATTTTATTTTTTTAATTTTATATATATTCTTTGATTGTGTGCATTATATTTGAATATGTGGTATTTATTTTAGGATAATCATTGAAAAAAAAAAAGGCAAAAGAGCATTTTCAAAGATTAAGGATTTTTCTTAAATTCTTTGTTTATTGGCCAAATAAAGACTAATTTTCAAGCCTTATTTATTTCATTTTTCCTTCTCAAAACAAAAAATTTTGTATTTTACTTCATCTTTCGCATTTCGTACATCATACATGTATCTCATCTTATGCGCATTATAATAAGATAATACGTGCATTCCATCCCATCCATATCAATAGGTAACACATGCATTTTACTTCATGCACATGCATCCCATGCACTTTTTGATAAGTAGTGCATGCATTCTATCTCATTACGTATCTTAAGACAGTGCTTACTTTATTAAGCCAGCACAATACATGCATTGCATTTTATACATACATATCTCATACATACAGTAGGTCCATGCATTTCATACAAGTATGTTGCATTAGTCATAAGAATACATCTCACCATTCATGTAAATATGTCATCGCATTTCATGCATATAGATTCATGAATAATAGGGTCATACGAAACATACAATGTATTTCATATCCCACCATTCTTGCAACATAACATGGCATTTTTTTCATACACATTCATGGTTGACGAAATTTTTTTTTTGGGTCTTTGTACATATAAAAATCCATTGTCATAAATATATATGCATTTCATGACATTCTCATATTCATGTATTCATAAACATGCTTTGTGTGTCTTTGTTTTTGCGATATTCATTCAATAAGGGTAATAGTCTAGAATTTTTAGTCTAAGTCTTGAAATAAAATATCTGTCTTGGTAGAAATTAGAATGGTAAAAATGGGAGATTAATTGGAAGTAAAGATTAGTGCTTTGAAGTTGAATCAAGAGGAACTATGGCTTGAGCTTCGAGAAATGAAACGACAAATGGCTCAATTGATAGAAATGGTTAAAGGTAGTGTTAGAGTTGAGTTTGTTCCTCCTCAAGGATCGTTGTCACTTTCAATTCCATCAAGTCAAGATCAATCAGCTCTTTTTAGTTCTAGCACTCTTTCAGAGCATATTAAGGCATTGGATGATTTGAACAGTGATTGAAGTTTGGACAAACTCAAGAGAAAAATGGGTGAACTAGCCACGTAAATGACTGAGCTCAAGAGTTTGATTTCCAATAAGAAGTCACCTGGCTTCAAACAACCATCACCAACTATCTCAAGTCCTAACCCGTTCCTAAATTCTCCTTATGACTACTTCCAACCTCCTTTCCAAGCACCTAGAATTAAGCCCCTAAGCGTCATGCAACCTTAAAAAATTTCACACTTGAATTCATGTCCCCACATCACATTTTACAATCGCTTGTTCAGCATGCTATCCAATCACCACTTTATCATCCCAATCTTTAACCTAGAGTTTTTCAATTCACCTCGAAA